CCCCGACAGTAGCCAGATGTGGACGACGCCAGTTAGGTGATCCACCTCCACCGCCACCTGCGGGTGACCCTGCTGCCCGTCCAAGGCTTCCAGATTGGTCAAGCTTACATGACCTACATAGCTTTGACCCAAGCGTAGCAGCGCGCGAGTTGCGAAACTACATCTGCGATGGTTCCACGCCGAGGAGCCTAAGGTGATACTCATCTGAACCAAGGCTGGTCTGGTCTGGATAGCGTTAGGCTAAACCTGATAAAAGGCGTTTGTGACCCATGCTGGGAGTGCAGGGCATGGGAAAAGCTTGGGCAGACCATGATGTCGTCTACCTCACTACCTGGCGAGTTCAAGGATGAGGTCGAACGCGACCTAATGTTACACACAGGAGCATTGGACATTTCACAATCGATCGTTGTACTTGATACGATGCTGGAATCGAAGCACCAGACAAAACTATGACCAGCATTCTAGATGAGTACCTTTAGTGCTGGATGCAAATCGGGCCTGCCACAGTACTATACTCTGACGGAGAGGGTACTCTCAATAATGACACCGCAAAGGCAGTCCTTAAGGCAAAGGGCACTGAGCTAAGGATACGTGAGCGTGGACAGCGCGCTACTACCATTGAAGCCAGAAGTGGCATACTACGACACTTACTTCATGTCATGGAGGGTGAACTCGATAGATTAGACATACCACTTGAGTTCACCAGACTTCTGCATGAGGCTCTGTTTGCCGACAAGGCGTTTACCTTCTTCAACGAGGTATCTCCATGCAACGAACTGTGTGACTGACAACCTGTAATGTTACCTGACTTGCCTGTTCCAGATCACGAACAACAGACGGTTGCATCTGATCATGTTCGAGAACAGGGTATCCGCTGGGTAAACATTGAGGCTATTACACAATCCACTGCAACAGCCAAAACAAACCGTGCACTACGGTCCACGACGACCATCACTGTTCAGCATTACTACGACGAAGGAGATCTAGTTGACTACCATCGCCCCACAACTACGAAAGACGACGGGGGTGGCTGGAATGGACCCTTCCCGGTCGTGCGGGGCGATCCTGACAGGGTCAAGTTATCGTAGGAGTTGGGAATCGCCATGTACAAGTCCAGTACGGTGGTGCAAGACACTCGCAGTACATTGAGGTTCTGATTGCTCGAGAGATTGGCTGGGACAACACAGCGCCACGGACTGTTTCGGCATTCGTAGGCAGTCTACCTGCGGGGCGACCTGCTCTGCTTCTTCCGTATCGAAAACGTGGTTTCTGTTTGGTTAGCAAAGAGAATTCATGAACTACCTCCGGTAACGTCTGCTGGCAGTTGTGCGCTGGTGCATTCGGACAACGGCGTGAAACCAGCGTTCTATTGTTAAGGAGCTGAACGCACTGCCCTAAACATTCAAGACAAAATTGGACCAGCGCACCCTAGAATCATCCAGTGCCTGAAGTCGACCAAACCTCAAGCGGGCCTCGACTCGATCAATATATGACGTAGTTCGAAGAACCAGCCGGCATGCCAGCACAAGGCAGTAATGCCAGGGGGGCCCCAAAAGCCAAAGGGCGGACCTCGAGGCGCGCATTCTGGAAGTGTGGTATACAGAACTACAAGACGGAAGGGTGCTGGAGATGATTTCTGATAACAGCGTGCTAGACACAGTCGCTGAAGAACAGCGGGGGCGCCTGCCTACGTGGGTAAACCACGGGACATCTACACAACCGAGACATGTCATGTCGTACTGTGTTCCACGGGCGAAGATGACAGCTGCGGATTAGACTCCGACAGGCACGGAGAATACGTAGAACTCTGCTTTGCGGCAGAAGTGTCCAAGGTAGTCTTATCCGACAAACAACGTAGGATATTGGACTTCGACCGCGTTGCCACTATGCGGGTGTATGTGACCGCTGCAGCGAAACGGGCTAGTCGTCAAAGATGGCGACTTTCTTACGAAGGTAGGTATTCAGGCGAGTCTAGTCAATATGTCGAAGGGCCTATATATTGAATTCAAGCCATGGTTTGACAGCAGGTTTCAATGTGCAATTTCTGTCCAAGGCGTCAAACATCATCAATTCGAGATGCGTATAAACATGGAATTCGCCAAGAATGAAAAGGGTGAGATGGAACGCGCCATCAGATTACGCTTGGCACCGCGGGCTTTCATGGACCTCGAAGCCCTCGGCGTAGAAACTTTCTCGGGAAAAAACGCGGCGGTCGAGCCAGAGGTTGCTCGCCAGCGCGGCATCGTGCAGGAAGCAGTGGACCATGGCATCCCTTGACATCAGCGTGGCCTTCCTGAGGGGACGTACTTTTGAAGAGCTCGCTGATGGAGGCTGTGTGGGGTGCTTTACTTTGCCGCCTGGATCAATGGCAGTGCTCAGATCTCTCCCAGGATTCGAATACTATGATACGTCAAGACACTGTCTACAGTGCCTCAAACCAAGCACTGGCACCATAGTTGCGCCAAGAGCCCTCTCACTCAGGCCCAGGAAGACCACGAGGGGCTTTGGACTCGGACCCGCGTCTTGCGACGAAGAATTCGAGACGAGTCCTAACCTTCTTACTGCCAGACATGTTGCTCATATATACATGGCCGGTACCGGGGACACCATCGACAAGTGCGTCAAGGGTGTTGAGGATACTTCGGGGGAATGTAGCATCAACAAACACACGCGTACCAATTGTGCTGTGCGATATGCTGCGGGTAGCGACGGCAATGCTACCCTTGACCAAGATGAATAGGTAAATCAGTTCCGTCCTATCCAGCATCGTGAGCTCACGGGCGCAGATGCTGCGGCTGAGGCGTCGGAGATGGTCGCCGACATCCGTGACAGCCTCAGAGGCGTTCTGGCTTACGCCCTTGTCGTGCACATGTGGCTAATGGTATATGTTGTATCACTGCAGCGAGTCCAAGAAGCGACCAACATTCTAGTGCGACGACTTAACGCGGTTTCCTGGAAGCTGCAGGCCTGCCTTGATGAGATGACATATCCAGCGATGACACCGACGGGCGAGGTCGATCAGAATAGCGACTCCGGTTTCCGTCGCCTGAATGGCGATGCCGATGACGAGTTCAAGAGCTATTGTATTCGCGGGGCAAATTTGCTAAGGCGTGGACGCGCGCATGCTGGCGAGCCCGTCGTCCATCTCGTTGACGCGTACTGCAAGTCTTACCGCTTGCAAGTCCGCTCGAGCTACTCAGCTGAAACACTGGCAGCAGCCCGCAACTTGGAGGACTGCTATCCCACGATTGTCACTCTACGCGAACTCCGCTCAGGGCAGCTGACACCCACTCAACCGAAGGATAGACTTAAGATGTGCGGCCTGGGAAGTAAGGCCACTTCGACCATTGATGCATAATGCGTCTTCAAGTCCTTGTCTAGCAAAGATCTGAAGAAGCTGACTCAAAGTATGCTTTTGGGCCATATCAGTTGGATACGGCAAGTGATGGAGCGCGGTATCGGGCATTTGTGTGCAGTGGCGTGGCATTCGCGATGCGATTTCGGATGGTCACACCAAGGGGGGCATCGACGGAGACATGCTTCTGCAAGTCATTGACGGAGTACAATCCTTCAAGCACGGCTTGAGGCGACGCACTCCCTACTGGGCGGGCCAGATGGGACCGTCTGAGCCGCCTGGGGATGAGTGTGCTGCTGGGTAGCCTGCTTAGGTTGAACCCGCCGGCTGCCGCCTTCCTTGTTCGATGTATTTGTTTCGCGGAGTAAGGCCGGTGGCGGACTGGCGGTTCGTCTTCCCCCCCCCCCGACTCTGAAGGAGGAAGGACAAACGCGAGGTGGATCGAGCGTTTGTTTTCGGCCATTTTGGCCCAGTGACTGGCCGCTTATTTGACTGCTTCTCTGCGGCGCACCACCATGCATAGAGACAGAACGGCATCATCCCTTACTCTTGAGATGTATCGCCGCTCTCGCGGCTCCTTCCTACTTCAGGGACTCTCGTTCATACGGTGCTTCGGCGAATTATCTGGTCGGGCCTCCCCAGCAGCTTCAAACTCTCCTCCCCGAAGGGGACATGTTCTTTCGAAGAGGAAGGAAGGAAATCGTTATAACTCCTTGGTTCCACAGGCTGACGGGATTACGTCGCTCGCCTCGTCCAGGCCGCCCGGATGGCCCTCTTCGCCGCGGCGGGATCCGCCTCGCGATCGTGGTCAATGCGCTCCCCTGGAGAGGTCGGCATGCCCCAGGGAGTGGACTTGATATGGGAGTTCTTGAGAACATGATCGTGCGATGTTTATTTTGCAACGTCAGTAGCAGGCCAGTGCATCCGCGCTTCATGCCTCCAGACAGAAAAGGGCACAGGATAGTATTATTTTTTGCCCCAGCGCCAAGACCAAGCCACTCGATGGTGTGAGCTCTTCAATGCACGGGACCAGAGGTCCCGACCTTTGCCCTCGGGGCAGTTCCTTTCTCGGGGCATGCTATTTAACTGTCTGTGCCCCCCCTACCTGCCCCCGCACCGCGGCCGACTCCCTTCCTCCGGCATTCCCGCTCCTTCCGCCGGACAATTGGCGACGCCGTTTCCCGGCTTGTCCGAGCGCGTGTGCGGACTGCCTCTGCGGCGTTGCGACGTCACAAATTTTGGACTGCCTCGGGGTCGTGGTAGGCTTCGGAAAAAAGGGGCGTTCCCGGGTCTTGGCGCCACCAGATGTCGGCCCGCGGCGGAAGCCTGGTGGCGGGCCACGGGGCGGAGATCTGAGGGCTCCGTGGGCTCGTGCTCGTGCTCGTGCTCGTGCTCGTGCTCGTGCATGGCCCGACGTCGGAGGCCTGGGTTTTCTCTTCCCCTCCCTTGCCCTCCCCTCCCGTTCTCTCTCGTTGTCCCGTATTGCAATGTCCAGGTTCGCCAGTTTTCGGAGGCCACTCACTGCCTTGCCCAACAGTCTCCGCACTGGTTCCCATCGCCGTCGCCGTCGCCGTCGCCCTCCTCACCCTTGTCGCCGTCGCGGTGGTCCCTCCTGCCCGTCGTCGTCGTCGCAGTCGCCGCCCAGGCCGCGCTGGCACGGCAAACGCCCTCCACGCCCGGCGCCGATGGGCACCACCGCCAACCGCCACCGCAGCGGCGCCCGCGCCAGCCGCGGCGGCGCCCGTGGAGCCGGCGCGGCGGCTGGGGCGCTTGGCGCCAGCGGCCTCTGCCTGGGGCCGCCAGAGGGCGCGCCCGCCTCGAGTTCGGCGCGCGGGGAGGTGGCGCCGCGGGCGCCGCCCGTCCGCAGGCGCTCTCGCCCGCAGGCGTTGGCCAGTGCGGCTACAAGCCCGCCGGCGCCGCGCTCGCGTTCGCGCGGTGGCGGCGCGGCGCGCCGGGGGCGCGCCAGCGCCGGCGGCACCCCGCGGCGCTCCGCGACGCCGCCCCCGAGGGAGCCGGCGGCCGAGCTCGGCAGTGGCACGCCGCCCCGCCTTCGGCGCCCTGGCCGCGCCGAGGCGCCCGCGGGCTCCGGGGGCGAGCCCGCGACGCGATCTGCGCCTGTGCCGCCCGCGCCGTCGGCGCCCCCCGCGCTGGCCGCGACCCCCGCGGTGGCGCCGCCCTCGGCGTGCGCGCCGGCGCCGCAGAGGGGTCCGCGGGCGGCGCCTGCTGTGGACCCGGCAGCGGCGGCGGCGCTGGCATGGATGGGCGGTGGCCGGCACTGCCAGGCGCGCGCTCGTTGGGGGCCAGGGCGGAGGGAGCAGGGGGGAGGAGGAGAGGGGAGGGAGGAGGGAGAGGGAGGGATGATGCGTGATAATCAGGATGATGCTGCTGATGATGCTGGTGGTGATGATGGTGGTGGTGATGATGATGATGATGCTGGTGATAGTGGTAGTGGTGATAATGGTGATGATGGTGATGCTGATGCTGATCATGGTGATGATGATGACGGTGTTGGTTGTGGTTATGATGAGGAATATGATGCTGATGGTGATGCTGCTGCTGATTACGATGATGAAGATGAATATGAAGATGAAGTGGATGATGAGGATGATGATGCTGATGATTATGACGATGATGATGCTGCTTATATTGCTCATGATGATGACGATGATGATGCTGATGATGATGATGATGCTGATGCTGATGGTGGTGGTGATGGTGATGATGATGATGGTTATGGCGATGGTGATGATGGTGGTGGTGGTGGTTGTGATGATGCTGATGATGCTGACAATGATGATGATGATGATGCTGCTGATGATGATGATGATGATGACGATCATGATTCTGATGATGATTCTGATGATTATGATGATGCTTCTGCTTCTGATGCTGCTGGCTCTGTTGTCGATGATGCTGCTGCTGATGATGCTTATGATGATGATGATAATGATGATGATGATGATGACGATGATGATGATGATGATGATGATGATGATGATGATGATGATGATGATAAGATTGCGGATGCTGCTGCTATTGATGGTTATGCAGGACGACGATGATGTCGATGACGGTTATGAGGATGATTCTGCTGATGCTGATGAGGATGATGACGATGATGGCGATGACGATTCTGAGGATGATGCTGCTGCTGATGATGGTGATGACGACTACCATGATGTTACTGATGAAGCTGATACTGATTGTGGGCATGCTGATCTGCATGATGATAATGTTGGTGATGATGACGACGATGGTGATGATACTGATGATGATGACGATGATGCTGATGCTGATGGTGGTGATGGTGATGATGATGATGATGACGTCCATGATGGAGATGACAATCATGAGGTTGGTGATGCTGCTGCTCGTTCAGCTGATGATGATGCTGATGATGGTGAAGATGCTGGTGGTGGTGATGATGAGGATGATGATGATGATGATGGTGGCGGTTCTGCTGCTGCGGATGATGCTGATAATTAGAATGATGATGACGACGATGACGGGGATGACGATAATGAGAATTGTGAGGCTACTGCTGATGGTGATGGTGATGATGATGTTGATGATGATGATGATGATGATGATTCTGATGATGATGATGCTCATGATGGTGATGGTCATGGTGATTCTGCTGCTTATGTTGATGATGCTGATGATGACGATGACGATATCGATGACGATGACGATGATGATGACGACGATGATGATGATTATGATGATGATGATGATGATGATGATGAGAATGACGATGCTGATGATGATGATGGTGCTGATTGTGATTATGATGATGCTGCTGATGCTGATGATGCTGATGGTGATGACGATGATGATACTGATGCTGATGATGATGATGCTGATCATGATGATGATGATGCTGATGAGAATGACGATGATTATAATGATGCTTATGCTGATGATGCGGATGATGATGCTGCTGATGATGATGCTACTGATGCTGATGCTGATGATGGTGCAGATGATGGTGATGCTGATGATGATGATGCTGATGCTGATGATGTTGATGATGGTGATGATGAGGAAGAGTACGATGCTGATGCTGCTGCTGCTGATGATGATGATGATGATTAATGATGATGACAATGATGATGCTCATGATGATAATGCTGCTGATTATGATG